TTTATGATAAGCTACTTACGATACGAGAGAAATGGTTAAATACGATTAAACGTAGAAATTATTATAAAGGAAAATATTATGAGATAAAGGCAAGAAATTATATACACAAATATAACCACACGTAACCTACGGTCTGGGTACGGTCCAAGCTCCTCCTCATCTGGATCCCATCCAAGCCATCCCACCTCCTTTCGGCTATGCTGCTTCCAACTGCGGACCATCTTTCCGGTTGTTTCCATCCAGCTTCATACTACGCAGCTTGGCACCACTTGAAGATGGCAGAGATGTGGTGCTATGAGCCCATCGGGGGCTACGTCAACGTTACTGACGTTGAATGGCACAGGAGCTGTCGAAAGCAGGCGGCTAAGGCGTTGACACGACGACGAAATGAATGGTGCAGTTGCCGAAAGCGGCTAGAGTCCGCCACCACCTGGCAAACTCTAGCTCTCTGCAGCTTACGGTGCCTTCCCGGCGGGACTACGGGCGCGCCACGGCCAGGCCGCCCTTTGAGTCGTCCGAACGGCACGACAATAACTGTAAAGAGTGGCTCATCCCTTGTGATCCATTAATTTCGAATTGAAGTTGGATGAGTTATGACCGTGAAGGACAGTTCATGTATTCATACGTACGATTGTCTTTTGGCTTCTTATAAACGCGATAAAATAGACATCCCGATGATGGAAGTCCACAGCCGCAACTCCAAAAGCCGTAAGATTCCGAACAATAAGTTATGTCGGGGAACTGATTGGCTTTCGACAGTTCTTCAATGAGCGAACTAGCATTTACGATTCCACACGTATGTCAAGAGCAAGAGCGCTTACTGGAACACCTTTTACGAGATTAAATTTTAGTCTTTACATTCCGCGTGTAATGAAGAATATTAGGTTCATACTGCACTTCATGCAATTTTTCGACTTTTGTTGCCTCAATCCAGTTGAGGGAGTTTTCAAAAACGGAGAAGATCACCACGTTCTTAATGTTGACTTTATGCCGCAATACCACATATTTTGAGTGTGACAGTCTTGTTGCCATCGTGAGTACATTCAGCACTAGTTTTGGCACGGTTCAACTATCCTTCAATGATGGTAGCTTGGACTTTCCGGCAATTAGGTTGCTTTCAAGCTCCGAAGTGATATATGCGCAAGTAGCCATTCCCATGCAGCTAGTGTCTACAAACAGAATCAGATTGCTTGCCGAACGTGTTCCCGCCACTTAGCCGAGGTAACATTAGTTGGAACCCGTCTGCATCGTTGACAATGTGCTCCCATTTCTGCTTATGTTCCGTGGGTAGAGGAATACCCCAGTCGTACTCGCATTTCCACAGCTCTTAAATACCCGCCACTTAGCCGAAGTAACATTAGTTGGAACCCGTCTGCATCGTTGACAATGTGCTCCCATTACTGCTTATGTTCCATGGGTAGAGGAATACCCCAGTCGTACTCGCATTTCCACAGCTCTTAAATACCTCTTGAAAAATGGCTTTCTTCTGAGCGTAATAGGAGTGAGTAACCACAATGGGTCATAGACATCCTCGTTTTTGCTCGATATCGGCGTAAGAACGATGTGAGCTTCTCGCAAACGCCATGGTATGTCGAGTACCTTTTTATTCACACTTAAATTGAGGTCAGCGATATTCTCGTTGAGCTCTTCATTGTTGGTGCGAAACTCTCGCAGAT